GCAAATGAACTGATCTTTGTATGCCTCAGTGTTATTGACTGTATGATGGGGTTAATGCTGATGGCTGCCTTGAGGATAAAATGAGCACATACACATGAAGTCCTTACCATGGTGCCTGAGACATGTGTTCATCATCATTGTAAGTCATCGCTGTCATTTCCATGGCTGCAAAGCCACACAAACTGCAGAGCCTCTGGTGTCTCGCACCATGGAGCAAGATGCAGTTTGTGAAACACAGAGGGTATTGCATTCTTCAGAAACCTAAGACTCACACTCCCCTCCCTCACTTCCGATAAATAATTCATTGTCTCCCCTTTTGCTTCCTGGGCTTTGGAAATAAATGTCAGGGAGATTGACTGTCAGGGCCCTAGAATGTTAGTCTTTTGGGATTTTCTGAAATCTCAGACTGGTGTGATCAGAGATTGAGCCACAAAGCAAGTGCACTGGGAGGCTGCTTATCAGTGGTGTAGACATCATAAAATCTCTTTGCCCCTGGTTCTACATTGGATTTCTTAGAGTGTGAGGTATTTTAAAATGAAGAAATCAAGGAAAGGATGCAGATTGAGCCAGAGTGAACAAGAATTCATGTACATCAAGGAGTCATATTATCTAACAGTGGACTGTAGGATGGCTACTGAAGGTAGGAGTTTCTTAAAAGAGACACTCCACATAAAAATATCAAGGACTGTGGCCAGAATAATAACTAATTGCCAGTTTTCAGTCACCTCTTAAGTAGAGCACTTAATGGATCATTTTTATTAACAGTGACCTTATAAAATAGAGACAGTTCTGTGTTTATTTTTTTTCACATTGGAAACTGGGGCTGGAGGTGGGATTTAATCCAGGTCTACCTAGCTCTAAGCCAGCCTTCTCTGTACCATACAGTAGCTGTATCACAAGGCATAGTACTGACCTTCACTATTGAAACCTCAGAGTAGGGTATGATTCAGCAGCAAGATTTTTGTTTGGGAATCAGGAAGCCCAAATCCCAGATCTGCATGCTGAGCAGCTGGTTCTGACAAGAGTGCCAAACCACTTGAAACTTAGGGTCTCTCGCTTCTTTTCTGATTGAGGGAAATTCTATTTGCTACACTTATCTTGTAAGGTTTCATAAGGATAAAATGAGGTGTTATCTGGGAAAATGTCTCGCAAACTTGAGTGATGTACAAATACAACGCTTACATTATTACATTTTTGACTATGTTGGGCTATTTTTTAAGAATGCTCATGTTGTCTTTTTATTGAATTGAGAAACCTTTGCCTGGTTCTTCCTGTTCCTTGCCAGTTTTGGGCCTTGGGATCTCTGAGCACAGTTCTCTAAGAGGAAGTTGTCCCAAGCTGCAGCTTTGGAGCAACTATCATCTTGTTGGAAACTTGGAACAAAAGAAATGACTTACTTTTCAAAAGTCTCTTTTCCTGTTATCATTTAATTGATCAAGTTGTGTTTATTCATTAAGTATGTATTCCATATCTAGATCTGTTTAAAACCCTATAGAACTCTGGAATTAAAAAGCCTGCTCAAGGCAAAGGATTTATCATAGAAGGAGAGGAAAAAAGGAACAATCAAGAAGCTATGGGTGAACACAAGCTTCATGTGTGTATGGTTCATGCTGTGAATCAAATCACGTGAAGAGATGGCTCGTCCTGCTTCAGTAGCTGGGGACAGTCTCATGGAGGAGGTGCTGAGATTTGAAATGAGCCTGAGATGCTAGGAGGTGAATTGAGGCTAGGAGTCTAATGGAGGAGGTCACAGGTCCTATGGAGGAAATAGGATAGGTAAGTAAAAAGGGACAGGATTTATCTGTGCATATCTGAGAAGTTGTACTGAATATTGGATGGAGGTGCTAATGCAGGTGTGTGTGTGTGTGTGTAGTGTTGGATCACATGTTACACAACTTAGAAAGCCTGAATGTAGGTTGTGGGGTAATTTCATCCAGTAATGGAAAGTTCTAGAGCCAGTGAATGACAATGAGAAAAGGAATGGAGGCAGGGAGAGCGTGGAGCAAAAGGCTAGAGGCTGGTAAGAGGTGGCTGAGTTGCCCTGAGTGTAGACAGGAGGTTTACTGCACACAGATCTTCAGTATCAAGTTCCCAGAGTCCAGTGACCGACTGAGTCGTGGAACTCTGGGAGGATGAAGAGGTATCACAGGCGAGTCCATTCAGATGTTGTGACTTAGAGGTTGTAGTTTTCCTTGCCAAGTTCCAAGATTCTCAGCTCTTTTGTAAAATGTGGGTAGTTGACAAACTGACTCGTTTTCCGTTTTCAGTGCTTAAATTATTCTAAGTTCATTTATGAATATTTCATTTTTAGCTAACTAATTGGTCTTGAGCATCTGAATTATGGATGTAGAGGATGGAAGATGAGTTTGTCACCATTCTGCTTGAGACTCTCTGAGGCTTTCAGGATGGATTTTATACTATTCCTTCACTACCAGATTCTGCCAAGTTCCACACTGCTCCTCAGTTTAGTCCCCTTGGCACTGGGCTTAGGTGCTGAGGGGCAAGGAATCTGCCTTCAAGGGCTCTCTGGTCTGTGGGCAAGAGACCTGCAGACTCCTCCACCCTATGGCACACCGTACTGTGCTCCCACTGTGCAGCCAGCATGGTGTCCCCCCAACAGGAGGCACAGCCACTGCCTAGTGTATGCACTGCAACGTCTCTGAGAAAACATAGGGTACCTGCCTTGTCGAGTATGTCAGTCTCTAAGTTAGTGGCAAGTTCTCCACTGGAATGCTAAGTCTACTCAGGAGGTCCCCAAGGACCACCCTCTCTGACCAGCTACCTACAAACTTGGGGGTCCCTGTGGTCTCTCTTGGGCTAGAAGATCTCACAGAACTCAGCAAAGTCCTATACCTAGAATAATAGGCTGGCACTAGAAAAGCACCCAGTAGAGCTTTTGGTATCCCACAGAGTACTGGAGGCTGTCGCCTCCTTCTGTCTTTAATGTTTGACAATATCACTACAGCCTTGGCTGTCTACAGTTTTTATCGAGGCTTGATGACATATTGCCCATGTGTAGTCTCTACCTTCCTGGTGGTTCTGACTAATACCTCTACCTTTCATTTGTCTGGTGGTGGAGAGACTCCATCACTAACCAGCCTGAGGCCAAGGCCCACCAGGCAGAAACAGACACTTCTGTCAGGAAGGACATCGGGGTCCTAGAGATCACTTCCTGGGGGCAAGGGCAAGGACAAGGACCAGGCCTCTCTTTGGGTCAAGTTCATTCTTGACTATGCAGCTGCATGTTTGGAGAACATTTCAGAGTCATGGCCTTTGTCTGCACAGCAGGATGCCAGTTCATCACTGGGGTAGAGCTAGGCCACAAGCTTTGATAGATGGTTATGCTTGGCTGATGTGACAGGAGGTGGGTGTTTTATAGACTGCTAATTCTGCTCCTCTGATATTAATTGCTGCCTTAGTAGGTTGTATGTGTTGTTGTGAAGAATAATAATAGGAGAAGTTTTCATGACTTTGAGGTAAAGGCTTCATCCTTACTCTGTTATTACATTTCTTCCTCCCCACATGCTCCCACACACAGGGTTGGTCCTCTGGGAAACACAGCCTGTCCCTGGAGCCCAGTGCTGGCAAGGGACACAAGGGGCCTGCATCTACTGCTTGTTTTATCTGGTCTCCAGGTGCCTTTATGTCTTGAAGCACCTTTTCCTCCCCCCGGCTTCTCCCACCCCAAGATGCCCCAGTGAGATGCAGTGATGGCCATACTTGTGTTGGCTATACTGGCACGAGAAGGCTCAAGCTTGACTCCTTAGGTAAGGCTAACCTGCCTTTGGCATCACAGATCTCTGGAGACTCTGTCCCTCTGGTGTGCCCTCTTCCAAGGAAATCTTCTGCCCCATTATGATGTCTGGTCTCCCTTAGTTCCTGGGGACCTTGTGCTGAGGTTGGGCCCCCATGTCCAGAGTTCCCAGGGTTGTGCTGCTCTTCCCTATAGATTCTGCTCCCATGGCTTCCCTTTCTGACTTGTGGCACAGGTGACCCTCTGAATTAAAAAACTGCCTTGCTGCTAGCAGTAGATAAAGTGGCTGGTACTTCACTGTTCCGAGCCACAGCTTTAGAGAACATGAAGTGCCCTGAGAGGCATCCTCATTCACCCAAGATAGTGGCAGGCTGAGGCCTCCTCTCTCTGCCCTGAGGTTCACACTCAAAGAGGCTGCCTCAGCCAGCCAGCCAGATCTGACACTGGGGATATCAGTCAGACTGGGGTGGTGGCTCCCTGCTTGGCCTCTCTCAAGCAAGTCACATCTGCCAAGAACATACCACTCCACCTTCACGTGACTCCACCTTCTGCATGTGTGGCTTTGCTCCCTGTCCCTGCTCACCCTTCTTGATCCCTCCCTTCATTCTGGAGTTGCATGCCTCAAGTGTGACACTGATGCAGAGAGATGCCGTTGTAAGATGGTTGGGAACTTCCTTTAAAGCAGCTCCAATCAGGACATTTGAAATCACTCGGTCACTAGGAAACTTGAATAATATAGTTATCATCTTTCATCCTATAATTTGTGACTTTAGATTGTAATTATTTTTTATCTTTCTCACCAGGATAGTTTGACACCTTGAAATAATCTGAATAGCTGTGTACCTCATTAGGAGCACAACAGGCTCAGTGGCCTCTAAGAGCCTTTTGCAAAGAAGTCCTGAAGCAGTTTCTGAAAGCTGGATTTAAGTGGAAATGATGGCTAATGAAGGCAGGCTGTGTGGACTGGTGGCCAGTGGCCACAATTTAAAACCCTCCTAGCTTTAAAGGAGCATGTGCAAAAGTTCCTATCAGCCTATGGTTTTGAAGCAGAATATTACAAAATTGATTGGCCATTAGAGTGTATATATGCAGTGATATTAGCATGAAAGATGCTGTTTGCAGCTAGAAATTTCTGTAACTGCTTTAGACTCTTCATTTTTAATAAAATTTGAAGCCTGAAACATATTTTCGTGCTTGGGAAGTTGACTGCATATAATGTCATAGTGCCCTCTTGCTTCCTTTACAGAGTTTATGGTCATGAAGAGGAAGAGAGGCAGGCCTAAGGGGTCCACGAAGAAGCCCAGTGCTGAAGAGGAGCTGGTGGAAAACATCGTGACCCCAAATGAGGATGCACCACTGGGTGCAGAGGAAGGGAGCAGCTTGGCACCGAGCAGCCTAGAGTGCAGCAAGTGCAGCCGGAGGTTCTCCAACACACGCCAGCTGAGGAAGCACATCTGCATTATCGTGCTGAATTTGGGTGAGGAGGATGGAGACGCAGGTGAGTGATGACCATGCTGGTTTCTTGCAGACAGCCATAACTGCTCATACCTGCTTACAGGTTTGCCTGTTACTTGGAAGTAGCATACATGTCTACAGGTCTCTCCTACCTGGAAAAGGGCTGGTTTTCACCATGGTTTCTGACTCTTCCTGAGCCTCGTTCTTAAAGTGAAAGTGCTACATGGCCCTGTGGTGCTTGCATCACTGCTTTAGAGGTTGCAGAGATGGTGAAACTCAGGCTCTACCCTTGGTGAGCTTATGTTCTGGGGGAGAAGAGAGTTAGAAAATGCAGAGTGTTGAGGGATGGTCATCAGGAGAATGTACTGAGTCAGTCAGTGAACCTGGCCGCACAGTTTGCCTGCATTTGAATTAGAGGCTGGAAGATCTGCTAGTGGCTAGACAGGGCCCATGAGCAGTGCACCATGATTAGGGTACTTAAGGCCTCCAGGGTGGGGACCTGATTGGCCACTAGTAGCTGAGGACTAGTTTGTGATGGGTGTTCTTGAAGAAAAGAGAGAATATTGCATGCTTTCTCTGGGTAAGAGTCTGGCTAGGCTTCAACTCTGAAGGAGCTTCCTTTTAATTTTTTTTTTAAGCAGTACTTGGGTTTGATCTCAGTGCCTTGCACTAGCTAGGCAGGCACTTTATTGCTTGAGCCATGCCCCAAGCCCTTTTTGTGTTTAGAACCTTAGGGATTACAGGTATGAAGCACCATGCCCAGCTTTTATTGGTTGAGATAGAGTTTCATTAACTTTTTGCTCATGGTGGTCTGGAACCACAATCTTACCACCTGATCTCTGCCTTCCCAGTAGCCAGGATCATGGGTATGAGTCACCACCCCCAGCCCTGAAACAACTTCTAAAAGGGACTGAAAGGGGATGACCTTGAGCAGGGAGTAAAGTCACTGCAGTGCAGTGTCTATAGAAAACCTTCTTAGGAGGAGTGAGACAGCAAGACTGTACTGGATGTGCGAGTGCACCTGCCTATGGTCCTATGGTCCTGTGCTTGTTTGGTGCTTGCACAATTTCTACCTCTTCAGGCTGCACCTTGTGTTTAGGAAGTTCTCAGATCTCTGTGCTGGGCTTCATGTGCTGTGTGGGAACACAGTTACACAGTACAGATCTTGGGGTTTGAAGGGCTTCTGCCTTGGTATCCTCATCTGTAACATGGTAATAAAAGTGATGCTGTCTCATATGATTGCTTTGAGTATTATAGGACTTGTACAGAACTTAGAATAGCCCCTGTTGCATCAAAAGTGCCTGGTACTTATTAGCTGTCCTATTAGGTATCATAGCCATGTAACACTGTTGCAGTCTTCCTGTTCTAAGGACAAGGGCAATTGGGCATTGAGAAATTAAGTAATTTGTTCAGGGTTCATTAGATAGTAAGGGGACCTGGCCTATGGGCCCAGGCAATCCCTCCTGAACCCCTGTTCTTAAATTCTTTATTATAAATATCTCCCTATGGAGAAGTAAGAAAGACCCTTGATGTGCAAAATCCCAGCACAGATTGGATGAATTATTGAGTAACTCATCAACTGATACCTATATAGAGGTTGGTGACCAAGGTCCGTGGCCAGCACCTGCAAGTTGTAGAAGCTACAAGACCTGTTCCTTCTCCTAAAGAGCAGTCTAGATGGTCATGTGATACCCCACTGCTGCATGCACCAATGCAAATCCAGAAGTCCAGACAAGGATCTCAACATATCAGCTGGTGGTGGCAGCTGCCCCACGATGGAGAGGAGCAGGAGCAGTTGTCATGTCAAAGGTGCAGCCAGGGTGGCACAGGGATCTGTGTGTTGATTTGAATTGTAAAGTCCTTTTGGCAAATGCAGATGGTTTTAGAAAGGCGGTGGTAGAGGGAAGGGATTAGGAACTGGAACTCTGATTGCAATGGCTCTGTTAGTCACTGCACTTGGTTATAGAGATTTCTCTCTCCCTCTCTCTCTCTTGCACATGCACACACACAGGATCCCTCTGCTCTCTTTTCCTGGCACAGCTAGTTAATGCTTGGCACATTTTAGTCAGAGGGACCACTCTGGCCCTGAAGGCAGCTGTTTATAGTTTCTTCCTGGTCCTTCTAAAAATGCAGTTCTCTGATCACGTGGTGTTACATGGTTCTGTGCTTTCCCAGGGTTTCTCCTGCCAGGCTCCTTCTCAAGTGCCTCTGGATCTCTTGACAATTATGACTGGGATCAGGAAGTTCACTCTTTTGCAACATCAAATATTCCTGTCTCCTGCTCCCTGTCTAATTTTTGAGTATGTTCTCATCTGCTTGGGTTAGGGTCTTCTCTCTATGACAGTGTCCCTTTCACAGTGAGGTGTAGAGTCTGTCCTCTCCAAATGACCTTGCTGCGTGCAGTGTGGCATTGTCTTCAGTACCATCTGTATTCTATTGTTGCTGACAACCATAGTATGTACAAGTTATTACTGTTTTTTTGCTTTAGTAAATATCCCTTTTGGTGTATGTCTGTATATATGTATATGTGTATAGTGTGTTTATGTGTGTGTGTATATATATGTAGATCTGTATTATTTTTGTAGGATCATTTCTGCTCGGTCAGAAAGTGTAGTATCTATTATCAAATCTCTCCCTAGGAAATGTTCACCAACTTACATTCCAAAAGTGTCTGTAAGTGACTACTGGATATTATAATTTTTGTTTTCTTCTTTTTTAATGATAGAAAAAAAGAAAATAAGGCCTGAATAACATACAATCCCAGTGTCTAGGCATGACGCCTGTTACACTGTGTGAGAAAGAAAGGCCTTCCTCCCTTCTGGGGACCCATACATGTTTTCAGATGACCATACACACTCTTCTTTGATTGCTTCTCATTCTCCCATGTGCAATTGTTTTTCAGTTCTTCTATGTTGCAGAGGCTATTATCCGTGTCTCACAGTGAGTATCTCTTTTAGCGCTCACATCAAGCTTAAGAGATAGGCACTGCTATTATTCCTACTTTGTAGAAGAGGAAACTGAGGGATGGAAAGGTCCACCAGTTTGCTTCCTTTACACAGCCTGCATGTGGTGGAGTTGGTCCTGGCTCCAGGATCTGTGCTTTTGACTGCTTTGCTGTATGTGCTGACTCAAACAATCAGTAAATGTCAACTATTGTCATTACAACCTTTCATCATGTGTGTGGGCCACAAGTTTTACCTCATTGTCTCCAGTTGATGGACATTTAGGATTGTTTTAAAATTTTCTGCCTGCTCAAGAAACAGTAGTCAGGTGAAAGTCTTGAGCATGCATTATTGTGCAATTATTATCACCTTGTTACCTTATTATTACAAGGTGAATACCTTGCAATTTCTGGGTGACTAGGGTGTGCTTCATGCTGTCTTTATCCTTTCTAATCTCTAGTGTGAACAATTTTTTTAAAAGTTTTATTTTGCACAGTTTTACTTTGGTCACTAATAGGGATATATCTATGTCCACTGTTATTGGATCATTTTCTTTTGTGTGTGGTTGGGGATATTCCATATTTAATGTTCTTTCTTTATTACACCTTTGGATTATCATACATGCAGTTTATTTCTCACAGTTTGTCATTTAATTTCATTGGTAGCATTGCATTCTGTTTTTTCTTTTTTGCATTTTGCTGTCATGCTAAATTTCTTGTACCTTTTATCATAGCTTAGAAAACTTTCCCTATCCCTGCAAATGATAGCAATATCCTTTTGTTATTTCTGTTTGTTGTATGCTTTCATGATACCTATATCTTTGATTTATCTGGAAATCATATTTTTGTATAAGTTGTGGAGTAAGACAGTTACTTATATTTGATCAACAAATATGGGCAAAGGAATTATCGTAATACATGCAACTTAGCTGATGAAATATTTCAAAACACAGGATCACGTGAAAATAAGGGCTTAGCAGCTCAAAGTCTTAAAAAACCCTTTAAAAATAAACCTTTTGTTTTGAAGTTATTATAGATTTACAGGATGTTGCAAAGATTCAAGATTGCAAGAGTGTGTGTGTTCCCTTTCACTCATCACACATGTAGACGGTGTGAGCAACTCTGCTGGCAGGAGAGCAAGACCATAGCATTCCCACAGAGGTCACTCTTGCTGTCCCCTTTCATCATCCCCAGTCCCACCAGGCAACCACTGATTTGGTCTCTGACTGTGTGATTTTGTTATTTTGAGAATGCTGTGTAAATTGAATCACATAGTTCCTGATGAGCTTAAAAATCTCTCTGTTTAGACCCCATTATTTCTTATTTGGTAACTGAGGAATTGGAGGTCTAGAAGTGATGATTATCTAGAGTCCCCCCAATTGTTAGGGCAGGATCCCAAGTCTTCCCACTTCTGCCCTTCCCTGGCCTGCTCCATCACATTCCTGTCTCAAAAACTGTCTCATTTCCATCTTATGGATGTCAGCTGGTTCATTTCAGTGAGCTTCTGTCAGGTTTTTTCCTGCCCTGAAAAGAAATGAAAGCCCCCGTGTGCTTCCTGCTGTTTATTGTCTACGCTGTAATAATTAGGCAGTGTTTGCAGCAACAGCAAACAGGCACAGTTCTTCCTAACACAATTATCAGCTTCCTCCAGCAGTAAGCATTGTAGAAAATGGCCTTGTACTACATTGATTTGAGTGACCTAAATGGACGTTAATTTAGCAAATTCCTAATGGCAAGGTAGGTGCTCTGGGTGTTTTTCCTTCTCTTGGCCACAGAGAAAGCCTCTTAGTTATGCAGAAATGACCTTCTGCCCAGCTGCCTGTGGCTGGGACCCATGTTCCCTAGTTCACCAAGTACAATATTACGATTTGGAAAATTTTCATTGTTCTTTGAGTACATGCTCTGTAAAGAGCAGTTTCGTGACATTTTAAACAATTGACCTTGACTCTATTGCTCTTTAAAACAATTAGAAGAAAACAAAATAAGCTTTTTTCCTCTCCTCTGAACCCTGGCAAGTTAAAATAACACTTTTGATAAGTATTCAACATTTATTTATTTTATTCTGCATTTCAATAGTAAAAGGAACTGGGAAAAGAGATTTT